AGAGGAGAGGTGGAGGCGAGGGGGGCAGAGACTAGGACCCTTTAAGGTCCTCTCTTGTCCTCCCTGCTGCCTGGGGCCACCTTCTGATTGGGGCTGCCATTGGCTACAGGGTCCCCCGAGGGCACCCGGGCTGCTGCTTTTACCTTGTTCCCAGCGGTGCTCTGAACAACGTAAGGATCTGAGTGCTTGAAGAGCTGTGGCCCACAGGCAATCAGCAAACACACATACCTCGAAGAGCCACAGGCTGTCTGAACAGGCAAGTCGGACCCCTCTCAAACACACCGGCCCAGACTCCTAGGTGCCACGGTACACCTCTGCCCGGTCCCAGGTGCAAGTCCGTGCACACACTCGCGGTAATGAGTCTCGCCTGCTCTGAGCGGGCCTTGCTCCCATCTCCTCCTGTCTTTCCTTCATGCCGCCCTGAGCTACCGTCAGCCTCCTTGGTCCGATTGAAGCCCTGGGACCCTCACTCCTGACAGCAGTTGAACATTGTCTTGCGTTTTCCCTGCAGGGGACCCTGAACAGCATCGCTTTGTCCCCTGGCCCTGGCTGGGGTTTGTGTCTGTGCACATCGTGGGGCCGGGCAGGGTACTCACCTGCAGAGACAAAAAAGATGCCCGCGCTGAGGATGACGTTGTGTCTGCTGCGGTGGAACTCGCTGGCTGCCACGCAGAGCCCGCCGAAGAAGAGCAGCGTGACGCTGAGGATGGGGAAGACGCTGGAGGCCCTCACGGCCCCTGTGGAGAGAAGGACAGATGGTTGAGCCTGCACCCCAGCCGCCCCCGATCCATCCGCCACCCCCCCACACACACACCCCATGGGGATGCCTGAGGGGGGACCAGCCCCAGGCATGACACCAATGCGGTCAGCCAGGGCCCCGTGCTTGGGGTCTTCTGCTGTCAGCATCCCAAAATGCCTCATCATTGTAGCTCGGGGTCTGGACTCACGTGGGATCCCCCGCCCACCGCCTTCCCACCTCCTTGGGACGGGGCTTCAGCTGCCCACTCCTCCACCCTAACCAGTGACCACTGCCCCCCTTCATGCCGGGTGGGGGCTGGACATGGACTCAGGGAGACGCAGGGCTGGGTGCAAGCCTCAGGCACCCTGAGTGTGTATGCTCACCCCCAAGTGTCCCGGGCAGGAAGGAGTAAGGCAGTAAATGTCGCAAGAGAGATCACAGGAGAAAGGAACTTTTTTGCCTGCATCCTGCACCGGGAGCCCTGGATTGTCACCTGGCACTGGGCCCTGCAAATATGCAGCCAGCTCTGGTCCCGGGGTGCCCACCGGACCATGGTCCTGTCCCCAAAATGCAGACGCATTGCCTCGTGCTGGTTTGGTGTATTTACCCAAAATGTGTGGCTGTGAGATGTGTCACTGTAGTGCGGTGACTTTTTGGCGACTGATTGGGTGGCCAGACCCCACTCCACCCCCTAATGCGGTACGCACAGCCCCTATGAGCTCTGGCTCCACGTGTCGGCCCTCACACAGGATCCTTGCTGCCGCCATTTTTTCCTAAGTCACTTGGCGTCCACTCTGGATTTGTTTTAGCCCAGTGGACACGTGGTGGCTTCAGAACAAAAGGGTTTGACCGCCTCCCTTCGCTGGTTCTCCTTCCCAAGCTACCTGGGCCCAAGTTGGGGCCCTCGGGGCGGAAAGGGAGGCTTGTTGCTGTGTAACTGCACCATCGGTGTGTGGGCAGGGCTCGGCCACGGCCAGTGCTCTATTATGGGGCATCTCTGGTCAACAGGGCCCCTTCTGCTGCGGGTTTAGGAGGCCGCCTGCCCACGAGCAGGCGAGAAAGGAAATGGCAGCAAAATCAGTGTGTGGAGTTCCCTTCTGGGGTGGTCCTGCCAGGAACAGCAGCACACACACTGGACGGGCAGGGGACCTCTTTTGCCGGGACCTGGCCCTACCCCCTGCCTGGTGGAGTCAGTATGCCAGGGCTCCCAGCAGGAAATGCATGTGCAGTTAAGGTTCCTCCTGTGCCTTTACCTTGTTCTGGGGCTCGTAGTGAGGACCCCACCCCCCTTCCCAGATGGGAGAATTATATTTTGTCGGAGGAACAATGGACCGCTCCAAAGTACGTAAAATCAGTTTCCTAAGTGGTGAGATAGACGTCGCAGGCTGTTTCGTCTCCAGCAAGGCAAACGTCACAATGGTTCACCAAGTAGGGGGAAAAAAAAGCAAACAACGACCAAAAAAACCCTAAGGGAATCTGGTAAAACCCCACTGGTCATGCCTTAAAACCGTTCTCTTTTGAGGGGACCCATTTCGTCTCTGTCATCCCCAAACTTTGGCCAAGCCACATCTCTAACTGTGGTCTTTATTAAATCTTTTTGAGCTGCTGGTACAAATCCATCCTAGTCAGCATTTGGATAAATCCTAGTAAACGGATAAGGGCTGACAAGAGAGAAATGGTATGTTTGTGCTATAAAAATTAGCTTAAAAATGACTGTTTCTTTCAAGTTGACCCCCGCACTCCTCACATTGTAACGTGATTAAAGGCTCAGACGAGTATGTAGACCCATCTGCAGGCTGGCTGGTGTGAATGGAGTCCACAATGATTTTAATTGTAAAAACAGCCTTCTTGCATGTGGAGTTACAAGCATAATCTGAATAGGACGATTTCTCGAGGTTTTTATTTATAATAGCAGTTATTAAAAAACCAAAAAACCCCAAGCCTTGTAGTTAACGCTGCTTAATAGCAATAATTAGTCAATGCCTTAGAGTGCTCCGTAGAATTCTCTCCTTTGAGTGAACCATACACGCATGCTTGTTGAAGAAGTGACATGGAAATGACATTAAATCCCTGTGCCTAGGTCATTGTCAGGCCCTTGTCCACAGCTGAACGTCGCTAGCTCAGCCCAAGCAACAGAAATAGCGACCATGTATCGCATCCTGACATGTTGGGCCCGGGGCTCAGTGAAACGTGGGCTACTTTATTTAATTGTCATGACCCTGTCAGATGGGTGACATTATAATCTCATTTCTAACTAGATAAAGACATTGAAGAGACGGAGAGGTGACGTGGCTTGGCCTGGGTCCAGCCCAGCTGGAAGGGACTCAGCCTGGAGTGAAAGGCCAGGTCCCCTGCCCCCAGAGGCCCGGCCCTGTGTCGCCACTTGCTACGGCCTCTGGTGTGCTGCCTTTGTGACAGTCCCATGTCACATCTGGGCTGTGACCCTGGGACAGTCCGACACAGACACTGGCCCTGCCTCGTAGGATTGAAACTGATGGGAAGGGACAGAGGGGTGAGGTTTGCTTTGCATTTATACCCCGCCCCCCCCCCCCCCAGTTCTTGCCCTAGGACCTTGCCCATTAGCACCTCAAATCAGCCCTCTGGGGAGGGGTGAAAACTTGTATTCAAGCCAAGGAAATGCCTTAGATTTTTCTCAGGAGCAGACTAAAAAGAACCTTCAGTTTGGACTCACCTACTTTCCCCCATTTCTAGTTCACTGACATTAAAGAGACTTAGATACCAGACCGTCTGGGATGGCTCTCAAGGTCCCAGGAGGCTCCGCTGCATGCAGCCGTTTGTAGGGGTGGGAGTTAGCAGCCGCACTCACCCTTCTCATCCCGCTCACCCCCACCCCGCCCCGGGGACCTGGGCAGCCGGGACTTACGCAGGAGGTACTCGGCTGTATCCTGTTCGTAGTCGGCGTCTTCTGGGAAGTGATCTATCTTCTTGCAGACCCCGCGGAAGGCCCCTGTGGAAACAAACGTGGTCCTGAGTGGGGGGGAGGGGGGCGTGCCTGGGGCCTCACCCCACCGTGAAGGCCCTCCGGGTGCCTGCAGGCTGACACGGCGAGTTGAGCCCATCAGCCATCTTTCTTCGGGCACAGAAAGGAGGCCGGGCAGGGGAAACAAAGCAGAGACGGCACATGTCCGCTTCCTAGGTTTGCTGGGCCTTGGCCTCTGCCTGGAGGAGCCAAGCGCTGTGAGCCACAAGCACTCAGAGGACTGTCTCATCGCTCTCCCTTCCCCCAGGTAGCGAGGGGAAAGGGAGAAGGAAGCGGAGCTCACGTCTATTAATCTATCTTCCCATTTTGCAGACGAGCAAACTGGGCATAAGAATGTTGCCTGCACTCACGGGGGAAGTAGAAGCAGAGGCCAGTCGAGACCTGCTGAGTCCTGGGTGCAGATTCCAGGCAGAGGCTCAGGAGTAGCCCAGGGTCCCCAGTAAGGCTGGCATCTGGCCCAGTACCACCCCCTTCGCGGTCCCCTGGCCCTGGGCCGCTTCCGGGGACGCAGGGCTGCCTGCGTGCATCTTGGGAAAACCGACTGTCAGTCAGCATTTTGCTTCCTTCCCTTTCCTCAGCAGCAGCTGGACTTAACTCAGTTGTGGGTATTTGTTAACCGGCCACTGAGCCGATCTCTGGGGGCAGCTCAGGGCGCTGCCAATTCTTATACATGACGAACAATTTCAGAGCTTCTCACCGCAAACAGCACAGAATTCTGCATTGTCGTTTGGCCCCTGAGGTGGTGAGGGGCGCGGACAAAGCTTAGAATCACATGGGGGGGGGCTTATATTTCAGAGCAGTCACTGTACGAATTAAATAAGGTGATCTATGAAAATTACGGGTTTTTTTTTTTTTTTAGCTGAGCCATCCTGCCACCTGTTGGCAGCTCATCCGCAGCTCAGCTCTGGCCGGGACTCAAACCATTGTTGCTCAGAGCTCGCACTCTTGAGTGAGCTCTTAACCAACTGAGCCACTCAGCTGGCCAGATGAGGGTTTTATTTTTGCAAAGCCTTAGACATGTCAGAATCATGGCTGACACTTCCAGTGGGCCAGACACAGTGAAACCTCACGTTCCTTCTCCTTCTCTCCTTCACTCTTGTCCACTGCCCTGGGGTGGGGTGGGGGGGCTCTTAACACCGACATTTGATGATGAGGCCACCGGGGACCACAGAGGGGCTTGAGGGGTCACAGCTGCAGAGTGGAGGAATCAGTATATGAATCCAGGCTTCCAAGTCTGGTGTTCACCACTCCACGGATGGTAGGGTAGGTAGGAAGATAGAAATGAGCAGGGGGAAGGCGGGAACCAGCCTCGGTAGGAGGCCCCCGGCAGCTGCTTCTACTTGGGCCAAGGCCCCCAGCAGCTGCTCTCACTTGGGGCACAAACGCGCGTGGCTTGCTCAGCAGGATACGGAGAAGAGGATAAGTCACTAGAAGGAAAAATGCCGGAGAGGGAGGGAAACCACCCCGCTTATCAGAATATATACCCTGCTTCTCAGGACCAGTTTAAGGGGCTTCTCAAATAAATCATGGCGAATTGACGGGTCCGCGTTTGCACCCTGAGAAACAACCCTGGGAGCCAGGAGGGAGGGTGGATGTCCTCAGCAGAGAGAGGAAGGTAAGAGAGAGGGAGGGGGAGACAGTTCTACCCAGAGATAAAAGCCGCCCCACAATGCAAGGAGGCTGCTGCCCTCTCTCGGGTCGGCCGGTCCATGTCTCGGAGTGCGCTCGCTTTTACTCATCAACTTCTTGCTGTCCTGTTGCTGCACAAACTTTGTCTCTTGACTAAATTCTTTCCTTCAATAAGAGAAGAGCCAAAGTTCAAAAGTTATTTCTGGTAACACTATGAATGGCAGCCATGATTATTCTGTATATTGTTGTCATAACAACGAGTGCCATATACCGAACCCCTACTATCAGTGTTGAGACATTGCACAATATGCATGATACTCTGTGAGACCCACCCTCTGGGTTCTCCTTCTCTGCTCACCAGGCAAAGAACAGACTCAGAACCAGGAAGGGGCGTCCCGGAGCGAAGACGTGAAGACTCAAGGAAATTTTCGGAAGAAAGACAAGCTCCTAACTTCCTCCCTGATATTGAAAAAAGGCCTTCATTCCTCTTGTTCAAATGTTCAAACATTCGAGGTTCATCCCCATGTCCCTGCTTGCCCCTCCCCTTCCAGCTGGCTGGATAATAAGGCAGAGTAAGTCACACACGTTGAGTGCCCACCATTTGCCACGTGCCAGGCTACACACTTGACCTGTTTTATCCTCTTTAGCTCTCAAAACAGCTTTACGAGGTACCTGGTATCATGATCCCATTTTACAGATGAGAAAACTGAGTCTTAGCGAAGTAAGGGATTTCCCCAAAACACAGCTCCAAGTGCAAGTCTGCCTGACCCCAAGGACAGGATTCCTAACCATTGTTGAGTTGCACTCTCTTCAGCACGTTTTAGAGTTGTAAACAAAGTCCTTTGCCAGGTGGCTTTGTGATCATTTTGTGGTCCGTCCGCTGTTATCGAATTGGACCAGTGGCTTTTCTGCCAACCATGTTTTCCCAGGATATACGAGGCCTGCCAATTAAGTTCGCGAACTTGTTGCAACGATGTTGCTAACCTTTTTTTGGTACTGAATTTGTACCAACTGGACAAACAGTTAACCAAGTTTACTATTTGAAAGTGCTGAAAAGGCTGCATGAAAAAGTCAGACGACCTGAACTTTTCACCAACAATTCATGGCTCTTGCATCACGACAATGTACCAGCTCACACAGCACTGTATGTGAGGGAGTTTTTAGCCAGTAAACAAATCACTGTATTGGAACACCCTCCCTACTCACCTGATCTGGCCCCCAGTGACTTCTTTCTTTACCCAAAGATAAAGGAAATATTGAAAGGAAGACATTTGGATGACATTCAGGACATCAAGGGTAATACGACGACAGCTCTGATGGCCATTCCAGAAAAAGAGTTCCAAAATTGCTTTGAAGGGTGGACTGGGCGCTGGCGTCGGTGCATAGCTTCCCAAGGGGAGTATTTCGAAGGACACCGTAGTGATATTCAGCAATGAGGTATGCAGCACTTTTTCTGAGATGAGTTTGCAAACTTAATTGTCAGACCTTGTATATCAGGGGCCACTGATCAAGGGTCAGGGTGGTGGCTGTGGGGCCACCTACTATTAACTGTCTTACGTTCTCCACCAAAGATCCCTTTGGACGAAACGGTACAGCTGAAGATGGAATGCAAGCCCTGCTGAAACAGACAAGTCTGAACCAGGTGGGAGAAAGGAACCACCACGTGCCTGCACCTGAGTGTGAAAGGGGTCTGACCCAGGGGGCCTACGGTAGCCGGAAACTTGGACTTGGAGCCAGCAGATGCTGTAGCTCCTGATGAAACATTGCAGGGTTCTGACGGTCTAATGCAGCATAGTTCGCGAGCTAAGAATGGTTGTGCATATTTAGCTGCTTGGAAAAAAACCAAAAGGAGAATATTGTTTCATGACATGTAAAAACATATACATGAAATTCAAATTTCAGTGTCTGTAAATAAAATTGTATTGAAGCACAACCACGCCTATTCCTTTACAGCTTTCACGCCATAATTGCTGAGGGTTGTGGCAGAGACGGCAAAGGAAACGTTGTGCTGATCCCTGGCTAAAGATTTCTGTCCTGCCAGGTAGCACAAACCCTGGGAGGGCAACAAAGGAGTCCGGGCGTCCCTCGGGCCAGAGGACGTAACCCAGGCCAGTGCTTCGAAAGCAGAGAGTGTTGAGTGTCGAGGGCAAATCTGCGTTGTGGAATGTTTTGCATTTTTATTTATTTATTTATTTATTTTTATGTACAGTGTTTTGGGGCATGTTTTGTTGTATTTTTAACCAATTAGATATGTTTCTGTGCTTTAAAATCCAGGGTTTGTCACATGAAAGCCTGATCTACAGCATCTCCTTAAAAATGGGGTGGGGTGGGGCACGCTCTGTCCCACTTCCCCATGTGACAACGCCCCCTTGCAGCCAGCTGGCATCAGCAGCTCCCTGTAGACTGGGCGTGAGCTGTCCAGCTGGCCAGAGTCCCTGCCTGGCCCTTTATCCCCTGAGATGCCTACAGCAAATGACCTCTGCAAACCTCAGTTCCTTCTACAGAGTGAAGACAAGAGTAACTTCAAGGTGTTCACAGAATTCCTGGAGGCAGTAAGAGAAGTCACAGTGGCTGCCCCGGGCCCCAGCACTGTATTCAGGACCCTTAACCAGGTGGTAATGTGCAGCACTGAGCACAGCTATTACTGCCATGGTAGGTATTTTAGGGCCAGAAGAGACATGGTGAGATTTTAAAAAGCAACATAAAAGGAAAAGAGAATCGAGAATTTCCCTGAGGAAGACTCCACACGGAACATGAAGTCAGCGAGTCCTCAAACAGTGAGCTTGGCCTTCATATAAGTAGCATATTGTGCATCCCCAGAAATAACCACTGTTTAGCATTTCTGTATATTTCCTTTCGGGCTTTTTCTCCCCTCACCCTCCCCATGCTTTCACACACAAATGCTTTTATCCAATTGGGGTCATGCTGTCCTCAGTTACGTGTTCCCCAGGAGTGATTTCCCCACATCGGTAAATATAAGAAAAAAAGGATGGGGTTGAACTTGCCCGAAAACTGCAGAGGGAGAGGCCGCACACGATGCTGACATGTACCCTGCAAGGATGGAGTCGGGGTGCAGAGGCAGGCTCTGCATCAGCACAGGTTATGCTAAGGCCCTGGGGCAGAGAAGCAGAGCCAGGACTTAATCCTGCCTTGGCAGTAACAGGGGTCAGGAGCTCAGTGGGTTGTCGGACCGCGGGGATGGGGGCGGCTGTGGCAGGGGCTCCAGGGAGCAGCTTTGACCTCTTCACATCGGCTGCGTTTAGGTGGTGACACCCCTCCTTCAGCGGTGCCTGGGAAAGTTGGACCCACCTGCCTAAGAGTCACCTGGGCTCTTGTTA